TAAATATGGATCTATTTTCATTTTTCTGCATGTAGACATCCAGTTGGTCCAGCACCATTTGTTGAAGATGCTGTCTTTTTTCCATTGAATGGATTTGGCTTCTTTGTCAAATATTGAGTATTCATAGGTGTGTGGGTTTATTTCTGGGTCTTCTATGCGATTCCATTGATCCTCCTTTCTGTTTCTATGCCAATACCATGCAGTACCTCCACTTCTTGAACCCTCCTTGTTACTTAGTTTGGTCTGTGGTTTTTAGAGTGGTTATCCTGTACTTTCTAGCTACTACCCACTTACATGGGTAGATACCATGTTTATCTTTCGGGGTCTGGGTTACCTCACTCAGGATAATATTTTCTAGTTCCATCCATTTGCCTGCAGATTGCATGATGCCATTGTTTTTAATATCTGAGTAGTATTCCATTGTATAAATGTATCATATTTTCTTCATCCATTCTTTGGTTAAGGGACATCCAGGTTGTTTCTAGTTTCTGGCTATTATGAATGAAGCTGCTATGAACATAGTTGAGCAAGTGTCCTTGTGTTATGGTGGAGTATATTTTGGGAATATGTCCAGGAGTATTACAGCTAGGTCTTGAGGTAGAACTATTCCCAGTTTTTCTAAGAAACTACCAAGTTGATTTCTAAAGTGGTTGTATAAGTTTGCATTCCCACCAGCAATGGAGAAGTGTTTTTCTTGCTTGATATTCTTTCCAGTATGTGCTGTTGCTTGAGTTTTTGATCTTGGCCGTTCTGTCAGGTGTGGAATCATATAGTCATTTTGATTTGCATTTCCCTGATGACTAAGGACGTTGAACATCTCTTTACTGCTTCTCAACCATTAGGGATTCTTCTGTTAGCAATTTTAAAAGTTCTCCTTCGTTATATATATATATTTTTTTGTTCCCTGGGAAAGCTGAATAATTCATAATATATAATTTACATATATTTGTATATTATATGTAGTTCTGCCTCTCACAGTTTTGTCCAGAGTGTGGGGGTTGTGTTGCTAGGCTTATGTTATTCACTTATACGTTCCTTGCTCCTAGCGTTGTGCGCATCACATAGTTCACAGCACCAGATCCTTAGTGGGTGAAGGAATAAATGCATCTAATAAAAGGAGCACTTAAGTATTTACAAGAACATCCGAGAATAAGTGGCTTTCACGAAACAGAAATAAAGTACTATTCAGTTTCACACACGAAAGCATTGCTGCTCAAAGCTGGAGGGAGGAGTGAAGCAATGAAGGACAGGAAAGTCTAACATATAACACTGTCATGAAGATGTGAATAATCAAGCTCCTAGAAGAAATAGAAGAATTTGGAAAGGTGGAAAATGTACTTGAGAACTCACTTCTCAGTTCTCTTTTAATGCTGCTTAATTTTTAAATAAGATCTAAACTGTTTGTTGCCTGTGCTTGATCTGCAGACCATGTATTTCAAAGGCATTGAAGCCGGAAAAGTTCCCTATTTTCCTCAAGCAGATACTATCATCTATTCCATCTCTACAGCAATCTGTTTCCATGCAGTAAGTACTGCTTCTTGAAATGACAACAGAAGTTGGTCTTTCTGATTTGCATTAAGCCAGAAGGAAAATCTCTAGGAACACCTTTTTTGTCATACTTCCTTCTTGTTGGTTGGTTTTCTCAGCAGGAGAGCTTGCGTGTCTCACAGCACTGCACATGTTAATGGCACAGGCCCTGTTTGAAGAACAGACCAATATTTATGTTTCAGTAGACTACAAGGACAGGTGAATTCATAGCCCTGTGTCACAGGTAGAACACCCTGATGCAATTATTCTTTCTGGAGAAAAGGCGACCCTAAGCATAAAGGCGCTGCCCTAGCCACCCCCTGACATCCCTGAGGAAGGAGGGCAGCAGCAAGTTTGAGATTGATGTCGTTTGCTTTTGTGTCATCATTATTGCTGTTGCTGTGTTAAAGGCCATTGCAGAGTTTGTGGGGATGGGGGTCGGGGGCGGTCAGGGAGAGGGGTTACTTGCCACAGTGATCTTGCCAGCTTTAAGCTTAGTAGAGTCAAACTATCCACTCTCTAATGGGCATGTGTGCTTCCTGATAAAGATGGCTGTTTCCTGTTAACATCTCAAAAGCAACATGTCTACTTTAAAGCATATTAACAGATATTTTTGAGAGTGACTTAAACATAAAAGCATCTTGCTATCATTGTCACTGAAACTTTTAAAATGCAATAAGCAACAAAGAGAGAAATAAGAACTGCCCTATTGCCTGCGAGTTCAGTGTTCTAATTTACTGAAATAAATCTCAAATTGAATAATCTTAGGCCGTTATGGAAGTTCAGAACTTGCGACCATCTTACTGGAAGTTCCTTTTAAGACTCACCAAGGGCAGGTAAGTGATGAAGATGTTTTCAGTGCTTATGACAAATGAATAACTTCAGTAAAGAGATTACAAATATCTTTGTCTCCCGAGGAAATATTCTTTCAGTGTTTAGTTATTTATATGTAAATCAAATATGACCAACTTAATAAGAAATAGATGTCTTCTGAGTGAAAATTAAATCTTTGACTGATTTTCCTCATACTGTTAGAATATTTTAAATATTCTAGATTAATATGCTCACTTCCTAACTACTAGTTAGTCACAAATTAGATGATCATCATTTAATCTTATCAATCTGTGAATCTTTAAAATATTTTTTATTTAAAATATTAAACAAGTACAAACTGGGAATGTAGCTCAGTGGTAGAGTTGTGTAATATGTTCAAAGCCTGTCCAGCACATACACACACACACACACACACACACACACACACACACACACACACACA